CTCATTCCTTATTTAATCATTTCAGATCAGGAAGACATGGTTCCTGAGCCCGTTCCGCAGGAGGACGACGAAGGGGATGCCTAAAGACTCCATAGTCATACTCATAGCTTTACTTTCGAGTTCTTTTTTTTGTTAGTTTAATCTTTTATATTTTGAGTACGTTTTTTGTTTTCGTGTAAGGGATGTTAACTGAAATTTTGATCTCGCTTCTGCATTTGATATTTTTGAATATAAATTCCATTTTAAATTTTCGGGGCTGCTACATAAGGTAACTTAAAATTTTAATCCTTCATGAAAATTGTGACAAAGGAAAATCATTGTTTTGGCACAATTTTGCATGGGTGCACTTTATCTTTCTTATATTATATCTCTAATACTCATAACATTTAAATGAATTTTATCATCAAGTATTTATAATAAATAGTTCTTATATGTACTATCAATGGCAAAAAATTGGAGTTCTATAATATTTGCTATAATTAATTTATGAAAAGATATTATTAAATATATTAACAAAAAAAATGAAGATTACAAACTAATTAAAATGAATATATATGTATATATAATTTAATTAAAAAATAAAATAAAAATTCAATTAGAAAAATAATATTTATATACAAAAATATACTAGAACTAATTAGAATAATATTACAATATTAGAGTAATATAATGAATTAAAGTAGAGAAAGTGAAAGTGTATATGAGAAAATGCTAAATTGGAATCATATTGGTTATAAAATTTTTAAAGAAAAATATGATGATGGTAACAAATAAGAAACTAACAAAAGATGAATATAAGCTAAAATGTAAATTCTTTTCTCTATTTTCCATACAATTCAAATATTTTATAATCTCTATTTATAAACATACAATATATTATGAATGAATTAATGTAAAAATTAAATTAAATGAAAATTATATATTAAATTAAATTGAAGCACATCCATAAATCATGCTATATTATAGTAGTTTCGTATAAAAACACATTTGTTATTAGGTCAAAATATTAATTAAAATTAATTGTATAATTTAAAATTTTGTAATTTTTACACACACAAATTTCAAATAAACAAAGATATTTATGTTCTTCTACCTTATCCTTATCGCATCTGTCTCCTTGGATGCCTGAAATAATGGCGGTTCTTGAAGCGGCATTCTCTGCCTACTGCTTCTCTTCATTCCATCCTTCTTCCTCCTCTAAATTTCACTTTAGTCCCAAAACCCCTCCTTCCCTCGTAAGGCTGCATATCTTCAAGTCTGCCGATTCGCTTTCTAGTAATTTCCTTTACCTTCCTTCTCAGCATGCAGTTGAAAGATTCTCCTGTGCACAATGTTCTACTGTGCAGGAGGCTCGTACAGACTCAAAAACAGAGAAAGTTCAGCAATCAAGTTTCAAAAGAAAACTTTTCGTGTTGAATTTACCTTGGTCTTTCTCTGTCGCGGATGTCAAGGACCTCTTTGGCCAGTGTGGAAGTGTAGTAGATGTTGAGGTACTTCTTCTCCGATGAATTTCTTCTAGCTTAACTTGTTCTTATAACATGGGGTTTTAGTGTCTTTCTTCAATTTAGATTATAAAGCAAAAGGATGGAAGGAGTAGAGGGTTTGCCTTTGTGACGATGTCTTCTGGCCAGGGGGCTCAAGCTGCGGTAGATAAATTTGATTCTCATGTAAGGTTTAGTTATTTGTTTATCCATTTTTATATAATGTAGCTTGCTCCTTTTCGTTAATTGAAGATTGAGTAGATATTTTCCGTTTCTTATCTTGTCGTTATTAAATTTTATTAAAGATTTTGGGAGAAAGAGTTTATGCAAGGAAAATTTCATAGTGAAAACCTGTCATGATTACAATGATCAATGAGTAACAATTGTTATCTACATAATTCTAAGTGTTGGTAACACAGCGCGACCTAGAAACCTTGAACAAATCTCCAGTGTTCAACCTATGCGGAACAAACTTGGAGCAAATAGTGCTCAAGATATTGCAAGGACAGGTTGATACATTGAGGATTACATGCAATGACTGCTTATGTAAGGAAGCATTCTTCAAATATCCAGATGTGTGAAAGTTGAAATCTTTTGGTCCAAATGAGATGAGTCTCGAGGAAGAAGTTATTTCTATTTTTTTCCCTTTGGTCTAAGATCTCTAGATTGCTTCAACAAGGCTCTTCTTGGCTTGAGAAATGGGTTTGGAGAATAATGGATTTTTGGAAATAGCTTTTTCTGGACGGCATTGAAAGTCAAGTTTGGTCTTGTAGCTGGGGTTAGAGGGTAAAGCAATCTACACAACCCAATAAAATCGGCTTGTGGAAATGGGCTGGGATGAGTCCTGTGGGTGCTTTAGATTGAAGGGTGGCCTCAAATCGAAGTGTGGGGTTTTAGGAGGATGACTAGAACAAAGGTGCCACCTTGTAGCTGCAGTTCCTTTTCCTTTTTTTTTTGTTTTTCTAACCAAGAAGAAAGGAGGCTAAGGTGAATGAATATTCTCCTGGATACAGCCAATACATTTTGGAAAGTCAACTTTGTAAGAAAATTTGAATGATTGGCAAGAAGAGGATATGTTAATGCAACATCTCTCTTACTGCCCGGTGGATGCCCCGATGACTGATGAGGAATGAACCAGCTTGGAATCTGGAAAGTAAATCGAGTGCGAAATCTTTCTATTTGCGTTTCTCTTATCCTAAAGGTTGACATTGTACTTTTCCCTAGAAATAAATTTGGAAGATTTATGCTTTTCCTAAAAGTATATTCTTTTCTTGCCCAGGAAACTTTAAGAGGGCCTATTGTCACAATTGAAAACCTTCAGAAAAGGCACATGGACCCTTTAAGGACTTCTTAGTCCTTTTTTAACTTTCCAATTTTCCCATAGTGAAAGCATGTGTCTTGCATACAAGACATGCCACTATCCATAGATTCATGAAGCTCACTAGAACTAGACTTGTGTAGTTTAATTGATGGTCCTTTGGTCAACCTTGCATTGAGGAGATTTATAGACAGCTAATAACTATATATGCCATTTTGATTGAGTTGGGTTGGTACTGGGTATGTTTTGGATGAGTTATGAGCTTGACAAGGTATTAGAGTGATAAGGGGAGAAAAAAGCTTTTATCTCTTATTCCTTGGCTACCTTACTTTTTTTTTTCCAAGGGAATCTAGTAGTACTTATTTAAGAGCATAAAGAAAGCTCTAGTTTTACTTTAAGAGTGATTGGACATATCTAGAATAAGTCAAGGAATGTGAATTTGCCAAAGATGACCTGAAAAATAGAAAGAGTACATCCATAAACCTTGTGAATGGGTATGAACCAAGTAAAAACTGATTTTAATATGGGTGAACCGGGAAGTGTGGACCCGACTGGTCCAGTTAGATTGAACCTGTTCACATATCAAATACGATAGTCACTAATAGTGCTCAGTGACCGAAGCATCATGCACCTGCTTTTGGTGATTGTTGGTAGTTTAGGTTTTGGCTATGACTTTTCCCAAAATGTGGGTTCCAAATCTGTGGTTGTTGATTATGGATGTGACTGGAAAATGCAAGTTCCAATAGTGCAACAATTCAGGGTGTTGCTTGCCAGTGTGGCTAATTCTGACTGTGGTAGGAGTTGCAACTAGGTGGAGCGGCTGGTTGTTGGCTAGTCTGATAGCCTGGGTGGTTTCATCTACCTGCTATGATGGTGAGAGTGTTGGACAGGAGACTATGGCTTGCTTTGTGTTATTTAATTGGATTTCTAGTTTTTGTTTTTCTTTTGAAAGTTTATTTCAGTGATTCTTATGATTTTGGGAAATTGGGGATTTGTGTGTGGGAATTTGATTCATGATGTTGCAGAGCAGGATAGTTTTAGAACAATAGAGAAGTAAATAGAAAAGTCAGGGAGTGACAACAACCAAAATCATTTCACAATTATAATCGCTTGATTTATAAGCACTCAATGAACAAGAGTATCAGTTTTTATTCATAAGTAGTTTTTAGAATAATAATGAGTATCCCATGTATTTAGAGGGTATTTACATGACTTAATGTGATATTTCTTAAATAGATAACAGAATTTTTTTTTGAAATAAAAAAAATTATATATACATATTAGAGCAATTAATGTTGCTGCCCAGGATCGAACTGGGGACCTTTAGTGTGTAAGACTAACGTGATAACCACTACACCACAGCAACCCTTGAAAAATGTGATTACTTGATTAAATAAGAGACAAAATCTTAATAAAATATACTAACTGCAAAACCTTACCAAAGTATAATAATTCTAATAGGGATCTTTATTACAAAAAGTTATGCTAGATGGTCCTGCATCTGGATAGGAACCACAAATAGGAACAATGGTAGGCTGATAGCTACTAGGAAATTATCAAGTCGTACTCTTTTAAGCTCTGCTGAGATATTTAATTGTGCTTTTTTGGGGATGAGCTGAGTTGGCTTTGGATAGCAGACAGCTTTGGGTCAGGTTGGCGGGGACAATGTAAGGCACTGTTTGGGAGTTGATGATAGTCTTCCAGTGAGGCAAAATGAGCTTCTTGTCCAATAAGATGATGGATTCGTTCTTTTTAATGGAAGAGTTGGATGTGAATTAGGCTATGATACTAATTAGTGGAGGAAAACCTACTTTGGTCGAGGAAAATATGACATAAAAATAAAGAACAAGAGAACAGGGAGACAAACTGATGTGGGACAATAGGGTTGATTTGTCCAATTGGGAATTTGGGGATAAAAACCTTACACATCAGACCTAGAGTGTCTTATACATAATATTTAAGAAGTCTTAAACATCACACTTAAGGGTTTAATTCATCACACAACCAGAAAATTGAGAAATTTTCAAAATATTATTGAATAACTGAATGCTCCAATAAGTAAAATTACAAGTTATTTATAATAATCTTTTAAGTAAAATTTTCTAAATAGAATTAAAATAAGAAATTGTAAAATAGTAAAATTAGGAAACTAAGAATAAGAAACTACTTTACTAATAATATTTGAAAAACTAATTCTAATATAAATAGAAAATATATTAATAAAAATAAAAATCTTAGGTTACTAAAACTATAATAATATTCTTAAATATTATGGACTCTTAAATAGTGTAGTAGTTTTACATTTAATATAATTATAACTTCTAAACTATTTAGGAATTTAATGCGAGCTCATTCTGTATCACAAACAAAAACAAGAGGAGAATAAAGTGAAGTTATCATAGAGAGAACACATAATGAAACCATGATAATTCTCAATTATACTTGTATATGGTATTTTCTATTCTTATATAGGTTAGTTGTAATGTAGACGCTAATTACAACCATTTTTTCAACTTAAAGTTGAAAATATCAAAATAATAAGAGATGATCTAAAAATTCTCTAAATCGTAAGCACTTAAAAAAACCTACTAAAATTTGCTATTTCCTAAATAACCTAATAATAATAGATCCTAGTAATGATATACCAATTACAATAATAACTTACTATACTAATGACAGTTCATTTTAACTTCTCTCATTCTGAATATGCGTGTATTTGCTAATATCAGGGATTTGCATTTTTAGTTGCCATCATAATCTAAACAAGGAAACATTTTTCTATTTCATATTTGCTTATATGTTTACTCACCGTATTTTCTGGTCCAGGAAGTGTCTGGGAGGATAATAAGAGTAGAGTTTGCTAAGAGATTCAAGAAACCTTCTCCTCTACCTCCTCCAAGTCTCCCTTCTACAGAGACACACCACAAACTTTACGTCTCCAATCTCGCTTGGAAAGTCAGATCCAGTCACCTCAGGGAATTTTTCTCTGTCAATTTTAACCCAGTTTCAGCCAGGGTTGTATTTGATAGCCCTTCAGGAAAGGCTGCTGGGTATGGTTTTGTTTCTTTTGCATCAAAGGAGGAAGCAGAGGCTGCAATTTCTGCTCTAGATGGGAAGGTAAGAAAAATTAACTAGTCTTTTTTTCATTGGGCTATTAGGTCACAAGGGCAAGAATATGACAGTCAAAATATCTCAAAGGTGGAAATTTTGAATGCACTCTGTGTATATTTCTTTCTTTTTGAAATAAGGATGACTCTGTATTAGTGCCTTTAAACGATATATATACACAAAGAATTGGCATGTGGTACTATATAAAATGGATAAGCATAGAAAATATAAACAGAAAATAAATCTTAACATCAACCTTTGGTATGAGTGTGGTAGAATGCAAAGCTTGGAACATAACAACGCAAACTGTGAGAAAGAGAGAGCTTTCCTGAAAGTATCCCTAAGTCATTCTTAGTAGGAAGGTAGTGTACTGGAAGCAAACCAGCAATAACTAATTTATGAATAGAGCAAATATCTAGTTCTACATGTTTGGAATGAGCATGTTGAATTGGATTATAAGTAAATAGTACTTACCTTATCGCACCAAATTATAGTTTGCAAAGGTACAAAGAATTGTAGCTAAGTAAAGATTGTGAAACCAAAAATGAGGAGCAAAATAGGTGCCACTGTATGGTACTTTGCCTTGATGCTGGATTGAGAGAGAGTAGGCTGCTTTATTTAAAAAAAAGAGATAGAAGGCTACTTTTGGTACTCCAAGAAATCAAATTGGATTTGGGGAAAATATAATAGCCACTAAGGGATTAACAAGTGTTCTCATGATGTGGGATAAGGTACTATTTAGAAATTTGGTGAAAACCTAAATATTATACCTAGGATTCTTAGGTATCACACCTAAGATTTGATTGGATCACAATTGAGAAACTCTCAAAATTTGTTATTGATTAATTGAATAATGATCTTAAAGAGTTTAGAAAGATATTTATACGATGTTAAATAAGTCTTTTTCGAATAGATTAGGAAATATAAAATTAATAAGATTAGAAATATTACTTCAAATAAAATAGGAAACTAATACCAATAAGATTGGGCATCATACTCGTAGTAAAACAGAAATATGCATACTAATATAAATAGAAAACTAAGTACTGATAAAAACAAAACCTTAAAGTTGCTAAACTATAATGATAGACTTCTAAATGTAATATTAGTTTCATATTTAATATAATTATGACTTCTAGTCTATTTTATATTTAATATAATATAATTTGAGTTACTGTAACCCATAGTTGATGGTCCCACTAATACAGTGCAGGATAAGCTACATTTCTTGAAGGCGATCATCACAAGTATCATGCATGAATTGACAAACTTGGTTGGCAAAATAGCAAATGTTGGGTCTTGTGAGAGTAAGATATTGTATAGCTCCAACCAAGTGGTGACAGAGAGTAGGATCTAAAAATGACTTGGTTTCCATCAATCTGTATTATTTAAAAAGGAGTAGGAACATTAACATGATAATCTAAAACATTTTGCCTAACATTTTTCCCTAAACTACAAGAAGTACAGAAAAGTGGTCTTGAAACATTTCATGAAGAAGGGGTGAAGTCTGCTTTGTTACAGCTGAAGTAAAGGACCTGCAGTGCACAAAGTGGTGATCCCAAATAACTTGAGTTGTGGAAACGACAAGAAAACAGGAGCAACAGTAGAGGCCGTAGACATAGGTTGGCTGACTGGGAAATAATGAGGACTCTCTAAGCAATTGCAGTTGAGGAATGGAGTTTGCTTTTGAGATCCTTTGCATAAACGCATACAGAAGAAACCGAATAGAACAGTTATTAACTCGGATGAATTTTTTAGCTATGACAAAATTAGCTATTGCAAAAGGAAGAACAGGAGTATTTTTGAAAAGAGATTTATTCAGATTGAACCATGTGAGATACATAATAGATTATTAACTAAGGTGGTTTGTAGGAGATTGCACATCTGTCAGGAA